TTATCATTTCTCCAGTTTCTTGCAAAAATTAACCTTGCAGCCGTAATCATTATTACGATTAAATCCTTATTTTCTTTCAACAATTGATCTTTCTTAATCACATTCAATAAAGCCATTAACGGAGACATTTGAATATTCAATCCAATTTTATCAGATATTTCTTTAAAGATTAAGTTCCTTCCTTCCTTCCTTCCTTCCTTCCTTTCTTTCTGTACCTGTTGCTCTTTAGAAGCCAGGGGAGGGGACCAGGGAAACCCTTGCTCAAAGCTTTGGTAACAACTTTTCCATGCAAAAAGGCAGTCCCAGTTTCCATTCCCTGCATCTCCACGTACCTGCCCCATCACAGAGACACCAGAAAGGTACCATGTGGGGCAGGACCATTTCCCTACCTTTGTCTGATCTTGCAGGTTGAGGCAGAGACAAGACCCGAACCTGGAGACATGGTTGAATTTCCCCGGTCTTTTTACATGCATTATGCCATCGCCGTAGACAAGGAACATGTTGTCCATCTGACAAGTAAGAGCTTCTCTATTTGAAATAGTGGAGGGAGATGGAGTGGGAGGAAAAACAGCCATGGTGGGTGGGTGGCTGGGGGCACTTGGAAAGAAGGCGTGTACACATCAACAATGACTGAGTTTCTTCTTCTTTATTCAGGTGTGGATTCGGGTGATTTGTACTTTAATTCTGCGTCTCTCACTGGCCAAATAGCCGAGGTGAAGAAAGAGCGCCTCTCCGTTGTGGCAGCGAATTGCAAGTACCAGATCAATAACAAGTATGATAGCAAACATCTGCCCAGGTGCCCAGCTGAGATTGTTTATCGTGCAAAGGCCCAGGTGGGGCAGAGAAGGATCTATAACCTTCTCATGGACAACTGTGAACATTTCGCCACCAGCCTGCGCTACGGCATCGCTCTCAGTGAACAGGCTTCTAAACTGTTAGGTAGTGTGACGTTCAGCCCTGCCCTCACCGGTCCATCACAGCCGAGCAGTGTAAAAAGAGCCAATGAGTGAACGGAAGGTGGTGCTACAGGGGGAGGGGCTGGGATAAAAAGGGGTGTGTATGATGTATGAGAGGGACGTGGTGGCGCTGTGGGCTAAACCGCAGAAGCCTGTGCTGCAGGGTCAGAAGACCAAGCAGTCGTAAGATCGAATCCACGCAACGGAGTGAGCGCCCGTCGCTTGTCCCAGCTCCTTGCCAACCTAGCGGTTCGAAAGCATGCAAATGCGAGTAGATAAATAGGTACCATCTCAGTGGGAAGGTAAACAGCGTTCCGTGTCTAAATCACACTGGCCATGTGACCACGGAAAGATTGTCTTCAGAAAAACGCTGGCTCTATGGCTTGAAGAGCGGGATGAGCGCCACCCCCTAGAGTCGGACAGGACTGGACAAAAATTGTCAAGGGGAACCTTTACTTTTTTATGATGTATGAGAGGAGATAGAGAGAGAGGAGAGAGAGGAGAGAGAGTGAAGATCTGAGTGAGAAGGCAGTGTGTTAATGAGTCAGTGAGAGCAGGGTCTATGTATTAGAGAGTTCGGTGATTGAAAGAAATTGATTATCTATGTGTGTGATTTACTTATTTCTTTTATGTAATCAAATAAACAAGTTTAAGTTTTAAAGTAAATACAAGTGTCAGTGAATATTTGGTATTGGAGCAGCAATATCTGGTGGCAGCTACAGTGGACCCTCGACTTACGGAATTAATCCGTATTGGAACGGTGGCTGCAGGTCGAAAAGTCTGTAGGTCGAATCTCCATTGACCTACAATGCATTGAAAACCGATTAATGCCGTAACTGCCTATTTTTGTTCCATTTTTGTTCCACTTTGGGTTTTTTTCTGGTCTGTAGGTTGATTCTCCGGCTGCAAGTCGAAACTAAATTTTGCAGCCAGAGAAGTCTGTAACTCGAAAAGTCTGTAAGTCGAGCCGTCTGTAAGTTGAGGGTCCACTGTACTTGAGAAGAGGAGTGAGCACATACTGGAGGCCTGAGTTATTAGAGGCTCCAGCGTGCCCGCTACAGGTAGGTCCTAATGCCATGCCACAAAGGCTCACTGTACACATGACCTGTGGACATCTGGACTTGCACTGGTCTGAGGACCTCTACGGTCTGTGGACTGGGCTGCTGACCTGTGGAATGGTTCTTAACCTTTTTGAAAGAATTGCCCCCCTTGAGCCATTGAGGAAGTTATCATCGCTCCCCCTCCCCCAGCAATAGATCCGCTGCCAGCACCAGCTGTTCTGGATCTGCCTGCTGGATCTGCTGCCAGCACCGCGGCTGCAGCCACCTTCTCAGGTTTGGCTCATTCCATCGCCCCCTTCTGTTTCTTTGCCCCCGCATCTCCCCTTTTCATTCCATCGCCCCCCTGAAAAATGAAATTTCCCCCTGGGGAGCGATATCACCCAGATTAAGAACCACTGGACTACAACACAGAAATGAGGATCCAGTGCATGGCTTTGGAGTTGGAGAAAACCATATTCCATCGCCCCCTTCTGTTTCTTTGCCCCCGCGTCGGCCCTTTTCATTCCATCGCCTCCCTGAAAAGTGAAATTTCCCCTTGGGGAGCGATATCACCCAGATTAAAAACCACTGGACTACAACACAGAAATGAGGGATCCAGTCCATGGATCTGAGCCATAGATCCTCGTGGATTCACACAATTTTTGACAGAGGTGCGGCGTTACCAGACTTGAGCCATAGATCTTTGTGGATTCACATAATTTTTATATGAGATCTGCCCCAAGCAAGATCCTGCCCCTTTGCACTGACCCTGGGCCAACGTACCCTGTAATTTTCAGGCCCACTGGGCGGGGTTCCACCACTCTCACAACTTCACCTCTGCATGCATGCGCGACTCTGAACCTCTGCACACACTGGGTTCCATAACGGACAGAACCTAACGTGATCGCTGCGCGGAGGAGGAAGACAGCTGCACGCAGGGAGGCAGAGCCACCTGCACGTATACCCAGCTTAGTGGGAACCTTGGCCTGGGCATTACCACTATGCGCACCATCGTGGGCTTGATGGCAATTGTGCTTCTGTTGCACATCTCAGGCTGACCTGAAGAAAGCCACAAAGAACAAGATGGAGATCTTTCCAGTCCCACATCCAAAGGCTGATTAGAAAGACACTTGCACCTTCCTTTAAGACAATCATGAAATCATTAGAAAAGTGAAGTTGGAAAAGGCCTACAAGGCCATCAGGTCCAACCCCTGCTCAACGCAGGAATACAATCAAAGCATATCTGCCAGATGATTTTCCAAGTTTTACTTGAATACCTCCAGTGTTGGAGCACTCGCCACCTCCCGAGGTTCCGCTATCATACTGCTCCAACAGTTAGGAAGTTTTCCCTGATATTCAACCAAAATCTGGCCACTGACCCTGGGCCAACGTACCCAGTAATTTTCAGGCCCACTGGGCGGGGTTCCACCACTCTCACAACTTCACCTCTGCATGCATGCGCGACTCTGAACCTCTGCACACACTGGGTTCCATAACGGACAGAACCTAACGTGATCGCTGCGCGGAGGAGGAAGACAGCTGCACGCAGGGAGGCAGAGACACCTGCACATGTACCCAGCTTAGTGGGAACCTTGGCCTGGGCATTACCACTATGCACACCATCGTGGGCTTGATGGCAGTTGTGTTTCTGTCGCACATCTCAGGCTGACCTGAAGAAAGCCATGAAGAACAAGATGGAGTTCTTTCACATCCAAAGGCTGATTGGGAAGACATTTGCATCTTCCTTCAAGACAATCATGAAATCATAGAAAAGTGAAGTTGGAAAAGGCCTACAAGGCCATCAGGTCCAACCCCTGCTCAACGCAGGAATACAATCAAAGCATATCTGCCAGGTGATTATCCAAGTTTTACTTGAATACCTCCAGTGTTGGAGCACTCGCCCCCTCCCGAGGTTCCACTGTCATACTACTCTAACAGTTAGGAAGTTTTCCCTGATATTCAACCGAAATCTGGCTTCCTTTAACTTTAGCCCATTGTTGCGTGTCCTGCACTCTGGGATGATCGAGAACTGATCCTGCCCCTCCTCTGGATGACAGCCTTTCAAATATTTGAAAAGTGTTATCATATCACCCCTCAGTCTTCTTTTCTCAAGGCTAAACATGCCCAGTTCTTTCTGTCTTCCCTCATAAGGCTTGGTTTCCAGCCCCTTGATCATCCTTGTCGCCCTCCTCTGAATTTGTTCCAATTTGTTAACATCCTTCTTGAAGTGTGGCGTCCAGAACTGGGCACAATACTCAAGGTGAGATATATGTCTTCATAGGCTTGACCCCCAGCATTTCCCACATCTGCTTAAATGTTAAACTCATAAAGTTTGAACCCTGGTCAGTTAGAACTTCCCAAGGAAACCCCACCCTAGAAAACACCCCAATCAATTCTTTGGCTGTAGTTTTGCGTAAAGGTATAGCCTCGGGGTACCTGGTTGCCTAATCGAAAATCACCAGTACATACAAGTGTCCCCCCGCTGACTTAACGAGCGGCCCCACAATGTCCATGGTGATCCGGTCAAAGGGGCGGTCCATCAGGGGCATGGGTACAGCTCTCCCCCGGATTGAGGCTTTGGCTGTGTCACCTGGCACTCAGGGCATGAACGGCAATAGTCTTTGACGTCTTTGCCCACGTTCGTCGGGCCTCATGCTACCTCTGCCATCTTCTCCTTGCCTCTGGGTCTTTCTGGTTGCATTGTTATTTTGTTAGTCCACATCTCCTCTGTGCCTGGATAGTCTTCTAGCAGTGTCACAGCGCCCTCTAGGTCGGCCGGCTTATGTTTCGTTACCCAGTTCCTGGGTCCCGCTCCAAGGGTGGATATCAGCTGCTCCATAATGATGATCTCCAAGACTTGTTCGGCCATCTTCCCTCTAGTTTTCACCCAGCGGGTAGCGTTGACTCTCATCTTTTGCACTAGGGTGTGCGGATGTATTCCCAGGCATAATTGTAAGTCCAGGAATTTCCTCCTGTATCCCTCTTCATTCAAATTCAGCTTGTTCAGGAGCTAGGGTGCGCGGATGTATTCCCGGGCGTAATTGTAAGTCCAGGAATTTCCTCCTCTTCATTCAAATTCAGCTTGTTCAGGAATCTGTCGCTTCCATCAGGCCTAAGGTGTCCACTATTTCTTGTGGAAGACCCATCAGGTGTGGCATGAGTATGCTAGGGTGCGCGGATGTATTCCCGGGCGTAATTGTAAGTCCAGGAATTTCCTCCTCTTCATTCAAATTCAGCTTGTTCAGGAATCTGTCGCTTCCATCAGGCCTAAGGTGTCCACTATTTCTTGTGGAAGACCCATCAGGTGTGGCATGAGTATCAACGCTCACGCTGTCTTTACCTTAAAGTAATCTGTCGCTTCCATCAGGTCTAAGTTGTCCACTATTTCTTGCGGAAGACCCATCAGGTGTGGCATGAGTATCAACGCTCAGTGTTCTACTGGCCACTGGGCCGCCGTGGCTACTCGTTTGAATGTGTTTAGGAATGCTGCGGGGTCGTTGTGTGGTCCTATCTTCTGTATTTTGATGGGTGGGTTTAATCCTATTCAGGTTTTCTGCAGCTGTGTTCCCGTTGTCATGGGAACGGTCAATTTTGGCTAATTGTGTAATTATCAAGTTTTGTTGATCAGCCAGCTGTTTTATCAATGCTTCTTACCCCACTGTGATTTTCCGGACCCAGGTGTCCATTGCGCCTTCCGTCATCGAAGGCGCCCTCTGTTGGGCACGAATATGTGAGGGTGAGGGTTCTGGCTCTATTTTTTCTTCAAAAAAATTGACAGACTTCCTTGGTTTAGAAACTGGTGTTACATTTATTGGATTGGGAGGGACGGTACTTCCGTGAGAGGGACCTTGCTCTCACCGACAGCCTCACATCTGCCTTATTTTCGAGGAAACACCGCACTACTGAGCCCTGTGAAAGCTAAGATTAGTTTTCTTTCAAAAATCAGCAGTTGCTCTGCTGGATTCCAGAGCCTGGTCTGTTTACATGGTCGCTGCAGCAACATGGTTCCGAGCCAGCCCAAGGGCTACTGGTCCTTTGTGCTTTGGACCAAGTCACTGACAGAAGCAGCTTCAGGGCTGCCCTCAACCAAGCTTTCCAGCAGCCGCCCATCATGGCACTGTGAAGAAGGTCCAGAG